AAAAAAAAAAAGAGACATCACATCAACGAAATATTTGATATGAAATGAAACAAGTACCATACTTTGAAAGTATCATTTCTATCGATTTTTAAGCATAGATCGATCAAGTTTCGGATAAGTTTTGCAGCTTTTGCCTTGCCATATGTAAGTAAGTGTGGTCGCAACAACGTTAATAATTTTGTCAAGCCTTCAATTCAAAAGTATTAGCAAAATAAAAAATTTCCGGTATTTTATAGACTTTCTTTTTCACTATGAATTTATTTGTTTCAGCTGCTATCTACAATGTGATTGATAATATATCGATATTATAAGTCAAAATATGAATTGAGTAATAATTATTATATATGAACTTTCGATATCATTGCTCTTTGACATCTGCTCGGCTGCTTGCATAATTAGATCTTCGCGACGCCTCAATTCATTTTCATCATCTACCTTCTCCTTATCACTCACTCCAATTCAGAAAAAATTACAGTTTTAGAAAGTGAAACAAACAAAACTTCCATTGTAATAATACTTTTATTGTTCAAAGGCAACAAAAAATTTGAATTTTGATGGCTTGACTGCCTAATAGTTATTGCTTATCCAAGAGAATTATTAATTATTGCTCTCTCTCTCTTTCGCTAATTTTGAGCAAACTCAAATTAATCAGTCAACAAACATTACAAAAGTTACATAGCAAATCAATTCTTCGCTTAGACAAATTTGGTAATTGTTCAGAAGTCAGAATGATCTCGCTGATGGCTTCATTGGTCAATAAACACCTACCTAGAGTTACCAGCTGATGTACCGTGAAACCCTCCTTCCCTTCTAAAGTTGACATGACAGTCGGCAACCAACTACTCTCTATTGTATTATAGAAAAATGATTCAACGCTCCATTTTAATGAATAATAAATATAATCTTATTTGAATGATTCGTATATTTGATCACTTCTGTCATATCAATGATTGATATACATCTACTTTTTAGTATTCAAAATTTTTAAAAATCAAAAAATAGCTTTTTACTTAGTCGATAACTAAAGATATGTTGCAAAAATGAGAGGAGAAATCATAGTAGACGTTTAAGAAATCTGTGATGAAAATATGAAAGATAGATTCTAAAGACAAAAAAAAATTCTAGAAAAGTTGCAATTGAAGGGAGAGAAAAAAGTTCTAGGGAAGTAAGCAAACAAGTTAAAATAATCTTTCAAAATCTGTGCTGAAAGTATGCAAAAAGATCTGAAATAGTCCGAAAATATTCATCCGTATTCAAAGATTTTAGGAACGATGTGTAGAATCCTGCAGAAACTGGGACAGATTTATCGATAGAATTTATAAATGGGAGAAGCATACCTAATGTAACTCAGTTCAGACGTTAGAATAAATCATTACCCACGATGTACAAATCTAACAGTGCCCAGTTAGATGATTTCTGCGATACTTTTCGCTCATCCATGGATTGTGCAAAGATTCCCACAAATAGTGCAACAAGCTGGAACGATTAAATCGAAGAAACTCAAGTGAAGCAAAGTGAAGGACTACTAATTTTTTGCTCAGACATTTCTTACTCTGGAAGTTACGTCACGTTATGCCCTAATTTGCGAAAACTTGCATCTTCAATCTTCGAAATTCCATTCATTTGTTATGCATCAAACAACTAACTAACTTTATCATTGATTTCCAACAATTTTATCCATATACACTTGGTGACCACTTAATGCTCGCTTTTCTTTCGAGCAAAACATTTCAATTGCACTAATTAACAGGCAAACTAAAACATGCTGTCAACATTACATATGCTCCAAATTGTAGAAAAAAAATGAAGTAATTCCATAAGGATTTACATAACAATGTAGGATTAAAATCTCGAATGAAATGAAGAATTTTACACAGAATGTGCACTTGATATATGCTCAACAAAAATACTTCTTGTGACTGATATTTTGACAAAGTCAAAAGTTTGATACAATTGCAGTCAAACTCAGATAACAGTAAAAAGAAGAGCATACACACTTTACAAATGACAGAAGGAAGTGATGTGCGGCAAAACTTAATGGCATACAAATTGATTTGTATAGTCAGCAAATATCTGTAGCTTTCAATAATGTAAGTGAATAAAATTCTTAAACTATTTTGAAATAGCAGAAGAAAATCAAATGATACGAGTAATAATTACGCTCATATTAACAAGCATTTTTCATGTTCATTCTTCTATTTTGTCCAGTACCTAGAATGAGTTAATCTGAAAAATGAACAAGAAAAAAACTATATTCATCAAAAATAAACTTTTAAAAAAAGGATGAAAAATGATACTGTAGCATTCTGGTAACCACTGCAACTTTGTACACAATAAACTATAATTTTTTCAACAAAAAATAAAAAATCTTTGAGCACGATGAAATTACCTGATAAGAAAAGCAAATTTATGAAAAATTAATGATAACAAACCATTGATAATACATTCAAGTCCTCACTCCACAAACTTTTCCATGTTGATGAGTTCAGTCTTTCAAACTGTTTTAACAGATCATTATTCTTATCATTTAAAATCAAAAATTCTTCGCTGCTTAGTCGAAATAACGGTATATCAAGCAAATAAGAAAAGTCTGGCGCACTGCTGCCATTCTTGCTCTAAAATATAGTTTATTGAAATTACTTCTTTTTGTAATGTCTAATGTTACTTCTTTATTGAACTGAAATTTGCAACTAAAATATACAATTTTTTTGAAAGAATTTTAGTATTTACTGCACACTATTTATCTTAAAAATGAACTACAAAGACAAAGCCGGAAAAGCAGCAAAATTAAAGTAGTTGATACATCAAAATAAAAAAAAATGACAGACTAAAATAACATTAAATTTTATTTTCAAACTTCAGTTACTCGAGATAAACCTCACCTCTAATTATAACGTTAGACTTTAAAAAGTTAAAAATACAGAACTGTTACAAAAAATTATTACAGATTTTCTTTTTATGGGATTCGAATCAAAATTCTTTTGAATTAGCTGAGCAATAATTTCCATGCGGCTTTTCTTTTCAATAATAATTTCCCGATTCATGACAGCACTCACAAATCGAACCTATAAGATAAAATAAGCACTAACATGATTTATGACATGAAATGTTCAGAAACGTTGAGCACAGCCATTACATAAGTTTTAAGAAGTCCTTTGATAAATGAAAAACAAAAACAAAAGCACATTATGATACAAGTATCATTTAACACCAAAAAACATAACTATGCAGTGGAAGTAAACAAAAAATTCATTTTGAATGGATAAATTCTTAAGGAAAATGCAGTGACTTACCTGGTTATCAGAAAACTTCAGCTTTTCGCTCACAACTTTTATCTCGTGGTCTCTCCTTTCTTGATATTTCTGCTTCCGAACCTCGAAAAATGCATGAAATATATCTTCCGAAGAGTCATATTTTCGTAGTACATTTTTCTCATCAAACAAAACCTAAATTATCTTTTATAACATTACCCTCTAAGTAAAGAGCACATTTGAGTTCGACACAAAAAAAATGCGAAAAAAATGTGATCAGTGATCATGTCAGCTGACATGGAAAATTAAAAGCTACTTCAAATTCACTATCATAACCACCTACCATAAAATTTTCGCTTGTGACTGACTCCAATTTGAGTAAACGAGTCAATTTTTTAATCAGTTTCACGTCGCTCATTAATGACTGGTCAGTAATATGAAGGATGAAATTAACATTGCTTTCGGTATGTAGTTCCTCATAATTCCTTAATTTAATCCTTTAAAAATGCAATAATATTAATTGGAATAAATCTTATTTAACAATGTATTCATTCACAAGAAAGCAAAATCAGTGCTTAGCATGCAGTCAATATGCCAAACAAAATCCAGCACAACATATGTATTCACAAAATAATCACTTTATTAAACCATTTTTGATGACAGAGTCGAGAACTCTTTCCTTGTATTTATTGTTCCAAACTCCAGAGGGAAGCTCTGTTATTTCAGCCTATAATGGTTCAAAATATTTGTTAACATGATCAGAACTATGCTAATTTTCAGAGTCGAGTTATAAAGAGGATTTTGAAGTTTATCAAAATAATAACTTTTTTTACCCTGAAATTTCTTCCTGAACGAAAAAATGCAACTCGACCAGAAAGGTTATAACGATTAGGACCAATCTCATCAACTGATCCACAGAAATTTCGAAAATGTGGTAACTGAAATTATTATATAATGCCTGATTTTAAATCATCAAAATTCTATGCATTTAGAGTAGAAGAAATTACATAAGCCTTAAAAGTTAACAACTTACGAATGATCTCCTTTTGTTGCATGAAATCAATTTCTAATCCATCAGATTACAAGACCAATAAGATTTAGATAAGAAAATTGAAGCAATATGAAGTAAATAGTGTTTATATATTAAATGGTTGCGGGATTCTAGACTAGTGTCCCGGTGTAGCACCAAGAATCTTTATTACACTGCTGTTTCTGCTGTTTTAAACTAAGCGCTACTGTTAAAAAATGTGACAACCAGTAAATCAATTAATATATAATTTTAGTGAACAAAAAATATGATGGAAAACCAGTGCTTGGAGTAGTACATTACCATTTTCTGAAGTGGCAGGCCATCGATCAGTCTCTGAGTGTTATTAATAACTTGTCTTGGACATCGAGGCAATATTTTTGTAGCCCATCCAGTGCCAATTCCTTCCGTACCATTTATCAAAATAAGTGGAACTACAGGGCAATACCTGATGAATGAATTGCATCATTTAGTTTGTTAATAAACTTCTTAATATGCAGTTTCATCAGTAACATAGATGAAGTTCCACTATATTTTATTTCCAAGCATATTAATAATAAGATAGAAGATTTTTAGAAATTTTACCACTCAGGCTCGATTGATGTATTTTCCTCAACCAAATATTTCAACACATTATCATCTGGACGTGGAAAAAGTGCTCGCGCTACTGGACTAAACTACATAATTATATTTTATTTGAATGAAGAGAATTTAAATATTAAAAGCAGAAGCAAAGATGAAAAACAAAGAAATGTAGTCAATTATACTATAATTCTTGTTTTTCATTTGGCTTTCTAAAAAGAGGTGAAATACCTACTGAAATATTTGAGATTTGTTCATTACAATCTAATTTACTTACACATATTTAATGAACATACAAGCAACTGAAAAACGAAATAAGGCTACCTTAATGCAGTGTAAATGTATCGTGCCTTTGCTGCATCTTCTCCACCAGCTAAACGTGTGCCAAACTGACCAATAGGTAAAAGCAAATTTAAATTATTTGAACCAACAAAATTTTGAGCTAAACGAACGATTGTATTCACAAGTGATTCCTGACAAAGAATAGAGGTTTGAATACAGGAAAATAAATAAAACTTAAGATAAAGTTACAAGGAAACTTGAAGCATAAAAACAATAGGTAACGAAAAACAAAATTTACTTCTCCATGATGATATGCAGAGTACTGCGAGACAGCACCAGCTAACTGGCTCACACGTACTTCGCCTCGCTCATAACGTCCAAACATAGTAAACAAAATTTTCCGCTGACTGGGTTTCAGACCATCTACTAAGTTCGGAAGAGAACGCTAAAACAATCTTTAAAAGTATGCTCTGCATTTTTATAAAATCTGCAAGTAAACAAAAAAAATGATAAATAACTGCTCATTAAAAAATTTATGCAAACAAATTGATATTTTCGAAGTCATTTTTTGGAGTCCATAAAGTTAGTCAGTAGTACAGTTCTACTGATCTTTTTAATGGAGGCTTTCACTATATTGCAGAAGAAATAAAAACATTTTACATATTGAAAAAATGATGCAACTAACCCTTAAATCTAATTGGGAATATTCTCTTAATTCTCCATTAACAAAGTCCGAAAATGTTTGCTGGTTCAAGCTTGAACCGATTCCATACGGTGATTTAAACTGCAAAATACTATCATATTACTTAAAAAATGAAAATGATTCATGTCCATAATATATCTAGATTCACTACTTTATTTTTCGACTTAAAAGAATATTGTAAAATGACCTCACTACTTTCTGCTACCCACTCTTTGCGACTATCAGCTTTATCTTTTGCAAAAGCAAGACTAATGCTTTTGTCTGACGCTTCACCATCATAAATAAACCGCACAGTATGTCGTTCAATATTAGCAAAGTATTCTCGTGCTTCTTCAGCTGATGATGTTCCCAAACCTTAAAAACAATGACAGAGTCCATGTGAGACATTTTTACATGTAAATATAACTACAATGAATTGTCATAAAAATATTTTTTGTAAAGTTTAGAACTGGCTACCTTTATAATATTTTGTTGAATATTTTGATGAATTAGGGTTTGAAGCCCGCCATTTTTCATACTCTGCTACATTATAAAATGATTTGATATCCGATCCACGTTTCACCTGCACATTTTTCAGTACCAGAGATTAAAGTGATACAGAGTCTTTTGGCTTTAAATTTTAGCGACATCCAACGAACCAAGAACAATGTGAACTTAGAAGGAAATAAGTGAATAAAGGTACCTTTAACAGTGGTGTGACGAAATAATTGACAAAATTAGCACTTAGTAGTGATGGCCAGTAATTATGAAGAAAATTTACTATCAATCCCTTGATGTGAGACCCATCAGGATCCTGCATTATTTTGATTATCGCTCGTAAGAATGTATTCAACACTGGAAGTCAAAAAAAAAAAAACGATAAAAAAGATGACATATTCAGCAAAACGAGAAAAGCAAAGTTTTGTGAAACAGAAAAGTAATACGAAATGATGGAGAGAATGTAATTGGCTGTAGCATTGAAGTGTAAATAATACTTTTTACCTAAACTAAGAAAAGTAAAATACACAGCTAATAAGACTTCACCTGATCAGTCATAATAAGTAACCGTCCATAGCGTAAAGTTTTGAATTTTTTCTCCACACTGTAATCCTCACCAAACTTCAATCCCAGCACTCGTATCAGAGCCGAAATTTCAGCATTTTGGACTGCCTGAAACCTTCATAGTTTACACTAAAGATAAAATTCAAACTATCTATCGCAAGTATTTTTCACTGACAATACATAAAACTTTCGATTAAAAATTGAAAAAAATTAGACACTTAAAAATTTTAAAAAAAATGAGAAAAACAAGACAATGTAATTTAATAGATTCAAATTCTTTTTTAGCAATATTACTCAGAAGATTTTCCTTGATTCTGTTGAAATTGAGCAAAATTTTCGAAGCAACAAATATCAACATTTTTTGGAATGACAAATCAACGTTTAAGGGGCGAATAAATCGATTAAAGATTAATAAAACTTGAAAACATAACTATTTCGGCATCCACTCCTCGAACATTTGTTAACTTCCCACGGATTGGAAATACACCGTATTGTTTCCGTCCAACCACAGCAAGACCTGCAACAGCAAGCGCCTTTGCAGAATCTCCTTCAGTTACAATCAAAGTACAGTTATGACTATTTGCCGTGCCTGCATCAGATGCATCTTCCAGTTTAGGCAAATCCCATAAATTTCGTTGCAAAGAACGATTGATTGAGGCCTAAAATGATATAAACAATAGTAATGGTAAACAAAAAAAGAATTTCGTCAACTAAACAAGCTATAGTAAAGAAATATTAACCGCATGTTGTCGACTAATATCGTTCAGTAAAAAACTAATGAGGTCAGTCTTGGACATAAAATTTTCGTAAAAGGATTCTTGTATAATACATGTTGAGCCAAAGTTCTTCACCGTCGTTGTAAGATATTCTTTTGATTGAGATTCAAAAGCTGGATTCTCTATTAACGAATTCACAAATACTTGCAGATGACTTTTGATCTAAAAATCCTGTCAAAAAATTCTTAATAATCTTACAGTAATTTGATTATCATCTCTATAATACATCCGAAATAGAGCATGATTTAGTAATCATTACAATATTCAACTGTAAAATAGGAAATGAAATATTGCGATGAAAAAACCTGAATTAAGGTTAAGAATAGCTACAACTCTATACCTGATGTGCACTAATGCTTTTTTCAGCACCGCAACGCTGTTCCACTTCTTGTTTTAACCGCATTACTATCTGATTCACGATATAGTCTACATGCCGTCCACCCTGAAATTTTGCACGTAAATAAACAAAAAGATTATTTAACTCTATTTCTAACTTGCTGTCAACTTCTGATGTGGACTAATACTTTTCTGACATAAGTGGAGAGAGTTACAAAACAGTCCCATGCCTAAATCTGGGAATTACAAATCCTGGAATTAGTGTGTCCATAAAAATTAAGTATATATAATATGATACTAAAGAATTCGCTATATATTGACAAATGCTATCAATTTTAACTAACCTTTAAAGTACTAATATTATTTACAAAACTAATTTGCTGATACCCAATATCACTTCGGGCTACTGCAATCTGCCATCGATTATTGGCAGCGCAATAGAAAAAAATATTAGAATTTGCGAAATTATCTTGAGGAACTGTCGAGAATAACTTCACATAACTTTCGAACCCTGAAACCTTTAAAACAACATTTGCACAACCTCAATATATAACAGACTTCAAATAAGAGTAAACTATAATAATTTATTTCGCACATCATAGTTAAAAATATGATTTGATCGAAGTAATTCTGCATATAAAAATTATTACATTAATTTCAAATGATCACATTTCAAAGTTTTCAAATCCAATAAATTAAAAAACGAATGCAAAATGCATCAACCTCGATCCTTGATCCGTTTAGAAAAACACGAACATCATCAAGAGTACCGGCAATATCAACTGTTCTCCGCTTCATTACATCTACTGTATTTTCGTCCAATGTTGATAAACTAAATTTACTAAGGTCCGGTTCAAAAGTAATACATGTGTAATCAAGGGCTTCCGCACCAATATTAACGATAATTGGATCATCTACATCATTCATGTTATTTTGCCAGCGCTACAATAAATTAATTACAAGGTCTTACTTCGAATTCCACAGACACATGTCTAACACTATAGAAATAACAATATTTTTCATAAATAAAGGGGATGAAAATTCTTTATTTAGGAACTGTAATTTTGACTTCAAAATATAGAAAATTAAATTAGATCAAAGTTTCAATATTTGTTACGAACTTATATAAAAATTAATAAAACAAGTGACGTACTTGAAAAAAACGCAATCCAGATTGTTTGTTACAAGTTTCAACAATAAATTCTTTGCTGAAAATGTTACACAGCTTCGCACCAAATCCATTTCTTCCACCTACAACCAAAACAAAGTTTTAGATAAATTGAAACATCTTTCATAAGCATCTAAATTATCATCTTTTCACTTAAATAAATACATTCAAAAATAACTAACTTTTTATGACAAAATTCAGTTACAAATCAAAGTAAATGAATGAAATTTCACATCACATGTTACTCTATCAGCACTATCAAGTTAAAAACTTTGAAGATTATTTATTTGTATAATGCAGTAAATATATAAATATATATATATAAATACGGAAAGTACGAACCGACTACTTTCAACTCAGAATCATCATAATTTGATGACGTAAACAGAGTACCAAAAATTAAGGAAGGAATGTAGATCGCTTCTGTTGGATGAACTTCTATCGGTATACCACACCCGTCATTCCACACTGATATTCTATTCTTTTCTCTAAATACAAACTAAATCAAAAAGATTTGAATAAATGATTTCATAAGAAACGAGTCAAAATCTAAAAATATTATGCTTTTACAAGTCATAATAATGAAATGTGTTTACAAATTTGATGAATACAAGAACATGAATCACAGTAATGTTTTCTACCACTCTTCTACGATAGATATTTTTAATCACAAAACAGCATTTAGTAGCAATGTTTTACTGCCTGAGCTGGTAACATTTTTGTATGCATTCAAAATAACCTATTAATATGGACAGCAATAGTTGTCATACGGGGATCACGCCTTTTATTATCAGCTGCATTGACTAAAATTTCATCGAAAATTTTTAGCAAGCCCGGAACAATTCGCACGTCTTTTCTGAATATTCGCTTCTCTACCGGATCATAAATAAACACTGGCTGTAAAAGCAACCAAATTCTTCACATTTTATTTAAATTATAAATTTAAAACAGAAAAACTATTCATGATGGATTGCATGGATTGCTAGTATGCGAGAAAATGAATAATATGTTAAGATACTTGTTCATCAGATAAAAATGCAGAACCAATGTAGCTATCTGGCCGATAAAGTATGTGCTTTAATGGAGTTAACCGTTGATACTTTTCAGCTGCTGCTTTCGGAACGGTGACTGGGTGCTCTAAAGTAAATTTATGAAGGAGCAGAATGCAGTAAAATGCAATATGAAAATTGTAATAATGGTCCTTTCAAAGTAAACATGAATAAATGCTATTCATGGATTCAATGCTAAAAGAGCAATGCACAATATACTCAACAATAAACTAATTTACGTTTTAACTCTTAAGTTTTTGTCTCAATAAAAAAAGAAACAAACCACTACTGTCAGTTGAAAAACGCTGTAAATGAGAAATATGTGAGTATTTCCTCCGATGAGCACGGAAGCGCAAACTTCTTCTTACGAGAATAACCAACTTGGCTGGATTCTTCATGACCAGCATACTTTAAAATACCCTACAAAAACGTTCATTACTACACAGTGAACAATACCTCAACTACGTAAGACCAGATCATGGAAACGTATCTTGACGTGATGAAAACACGACAAATAAACAACTGCCGTTAATTTTTTCTTCATATTAAGATTTCTATATTTTCACAGAGGAACAAGCATTTTAGCACAAGACTGTCACATAGCGCTTCCGTCTTGGCACAGGCAGAAGTAATCCATTCATGATGTCGTCTGTAACAAGAAGCTTGAAGTCATCCATAAATAGTAAATGGTTCATAACATATATTTCCTGATTTGCGAGGATCTCTATCTTTGGGTATCTGATATTGAGCCTACGGCTCAGTGGATCCGTGCATAAAACGAACAATAGAGGATGTTACCCTGGAAGATTCCCCGCTGTATATTTTTCTCTATTTTGGTTACCTCATTGCGTTTCAGTGTAAAACCAATCATCTGAATGTGATCCTTCTCTGAAACCTTGCGATCAATTGCATTAAAAGGCTTAAGAAAACCTTTCAGTGTACTTAATCAAGTAAATTTGTTAACTGGATTGAACGATTTATAACGTCATACCATGTTGTGTACAGCCGGTTGTCATGCTCTTTGCATACCGTGAGGTTCAGAAGTACCTGCTCTTTCGCCAACAGTATCTAATTGGCTGTCTTCAAGTAGTTCCCTCGTGGTAACATCCAACTGCATATACGTCCAAACAAGGCAGGAAATCTGTCTTAATTTGTACAGGTATGGATGCGAGAATGTGCACTTCTTAATAAAAAAGTTATAGACTTCATCAGAGCCCACTGCCTTCCAGCTGGGCAGATAGGAAACAATCTTCCCTAGTTTGATTTTAGATGGAATCCTTCACTTCATATTCTAGAACAAACTTCCATACATTCGTTGTGCTGTGTGTCATCATCCTTCCTCATCGGTAAATCCCGCACTGTGGAATTCACCCCAACTTGTCCTCTCTTTGTATCAAACAGGTTTCCCTGCATAGAACAGCCTTTTTGAGCAGTTCACACTATATCATTTCTTTACTTGTATTTTCTTTTTTTTGTTTTTAGTATACTGTTTTATAAAAAGTGGTACAGACTCATTATCTGTAATTATTTATTTGGTACCATTTCCGTAAAGTTTAAAATAATTTGGTTAATAACTTGCTCACTACCGTAATTTACTAAGCGATTGTGTTTAAATTGTTGAGTAATAAATTAAAATTTTTATTCAAAAGCATATTAATACATTTATTTTGACATAAGTAAAACTCAGCTTTAACTGCTCTAACTGAGCTAAGTTATTTCAACTAAAATCCGAAGTAGTAAAATTATAGAGACATTTTGATCATTACACTTGTGATTCCTAAATGAAACATATTTCCGGAATACTTTCCATAACACTCTCGTATAATTAATGAATTTAAAAGTAATGTTAACTTATTATGTGTGTGAGTGGCAAAAGCATAAAATATTTATCACAATTTTTCGTGACTTGGTTTTTAGCTAGTGTTAGGATTGTCGCTCAGGTTTAACCAAGTGAGATATTAGTATCAGATAATACCTAATTTTCAATATAACAATGAACTTTCTCACTTGCGCTTGACTAAATACACAACGATAACAGTCTTGCTAAATACCGAGATGAAGAAATAATCCTTTAATTGTCAAAAACGAACATTGCAACATGAACACACCATAACACAGTCTGAATACAATATACAACAAAAAATCTATGGTGTAAGTTTGACCTGCATTTGAAATACACGTAAGACTAATTACGTTTAGTTAACATTATTTCCAGAGATGAGCACGAGATATATTTCGCATTTTAGATAAAATGATATTATGGTATCACATATTGACCTTTTCTTCAGTATCAGAGTTCTCCCTGCTGATTTCTCGAATTAATGAAAGAGTTAAATTAATGAAGCAAATAATATCCTTCTCTATGTGCGTTAATATCATTGGATCAAATTACGCAATTACACGCTAATAGTTGGAGAAAAAGCAAAAGTACTTTCAGGATGAAGTGTTTTCGCAGTTATCACGAAGTAAGTAAAGTTATACTATATGTTTTGTAAATAACGAGAGTGATGGTGGGATAGTGGAGAATGCTCCTTCAGATGCAGAAATTGAACTTGAGAAGGAACTGACGCTGTATTACGAATCGAAGAATTTAGGAACAGCGAGAAAGGAAGTGTGAATTGCATATAATAAGAGAATGGATTCAATTATTTTACCTGTGGCAAAATGAAGAAAAGTGCTTCTTGGATAAGTATGAAATGAATTTTGTAACAAATTTATTATTCGTAAGTAGCTGATGCATTCTGAAGCATCTTTGTGTGCAATTCCTGAAGAGAACTGGTGGAGAATGCAAGTTTTCAGTTGAAAATTTTTGCTTCATTTGGAATTGCTTGCAAGTTGCGACAGTTTTATATGCATAAATCTAATGCACAAATTGTGTGCAAAGATTTTTTACAAGTTTAACTAAATTAATAAGCTAGCAAAAACTCAAAATTGTATATAGGAATTGAGAAGAGATTAACCCGTAAATAATTTCACATAATTCTTTATTGAAGTTCATCAATACGCGAGACACTATCAACCGGCTGCGAACTTCTGCTGCTGTTCAGGGACGACTTATACTGCATGCTGCGTTGTTTCTCAGCGGTAGACGAGGGGACTGCAATCGGAATTTCCATTTTCGTTCATCATTCGATAATGGCTAATTATCTTTAAGAACGTCAAATTTTGTAGTTTTTATCAAAAATTTAAAGCACTGGTCATCTTAGCAAGATTACATATGCCTTCCTATTGTCTATTCGGCCTACTCACTCAATTTTCATTCTTTCGCGCCTTCAAAATTGTGCTTTCCATCAATTCAGCTGTATCCGTAAACAATATAATTTCAATTAAGTATATTTGTAATTGTCCAACTAATCAAGAAATGATCAAAAATAGTAAAACAAGAAATTATGTAAATGCACTGAGAAGAAATATTACCATACAATGGTTATTTGACATTTCGTTTTGAGTCTGCCTATTCACCGAGCATTTCTGACTTGTTTTCACAGCTGACCAGCGAGTAGATGGCTTACGTTGCTGTGATGAAGTGTTAGCTGCGCAAGATGCTGCCGATGTCTAAGCAAATCACATCTGACCATTTATTATTAAAAACAAGATGTTTTGTTGATGGAAAATTTGTTCAGAAGCCAATAACTTGTTTTTTTACTAAAGTAGTCAGAAATAAATAACGAATTCAAAAATTTCATTTTCAGTACTTTTCATAAGCTTATTTATTTCATCAATCTAACAAGATTAAATGAGAACAGATAATTCGCAAAATTAAAAATGCACCTGTTGCTGACCAATGCTTGGTGTTCCATTCAATTCACCTTTGATAAAGCGTTCAACTTTATCCATGCAAGCCTCTTGATAATCGTGCACCCAACGTACGCCATTGTACCGCGTTATGTGCCTTATATCAGTGGGAAGATCAGTATCAGCAGGAAAATCAAAATGTTGGTCGAAAATGGGGATCACATTTTTGTGATGATCAAAGGCACAACGCAACTGAAAAAATAATCACTTGAGAGTGCCACATGATCATTTTAGAAGTACTTTTCTGAGAACTGTCAAGTTTGCTTTGCATACACAGAACACGTAACTATGAAGTCAAAATCACGGAAAATGTATTGTAAATATGAAAAATGTTATAATACATTCGTAATGCTATGGAAGAGAATCAATTCATCACGCACATAAACATACAGATTAGTTTCACAAAAACACACAAGTTGTGAGATTTTTTTAATGAATGACTTTACATAATACATTAAAACTTATCCCAAAAATGTCACGGGTCAGTCAATGAACTTTGTTAAAAGTATTGCACACATACTTGTACTGAAAAAACGACAATGCAATGCTATTTACAAAGAATGTATTTACCTCTTTATGAATCCAGTCCTCACAGTTGTGATCATTAAATAACCTATCAAGAGAGTTTGGTGTTAGTACAAGAATGAAGTGTTTTGCTGCTTGGATGTTTTTCAACAAGGAGGAATCAAATTTGCCAGCATAAAGTTTATCTACATCGATAAACACCTAAAATTATCAGATTTTCCACCAATAATAGCGAAGAATTACTCAACCAAAGAACCAAAGTGAGAAAATAATCAGTGGAATAATTTCATTAGTAGAAATTTTTTTAAAACATCTTTCAACGTTATGTTGACAGATATATTCACATGAGCAAAAGAAGTTATAATTTAATTTTAAAGTAATT